CCCAGGGTGGGGATGGAGGAAGCGTCGAGGCAGGGCTTGGGCACCCAGCTGGAGAGCTGCAGTGCTGGGAGGAACGGGTGCCTGATAAACCTGCCATGTCCCAGGAGGCGCCAAGGTCCAGCTGCTCTGTGAGGGGATCGATTGCGTGTCCCAGCAGACTCGGCAGCCATGAGACTGGGGAGCCAGGCTGCCAGGTCCTGAGGAATGGGGCACCGTCTGCGGAGTTTGAGCACCATGACCTGCGCTGTGTCCAGTGTGATGCTTGTCTCCTCTCTCTCTTTCAACTCTCACCTGTAGGGCAGCCCTGCTGACCGGCCGGTTCCAGATGCGCTCTGGGGTTTATCCCGGTGTGTTCAACCCAGACTCGCGGGGGGGCCTGCCGCTGTCCGAGGTCACCATTGCAGAGGTGCTGAAGGCTGAGGGCTATGCCACAGCCATGGTTGGCAAGTGGCACCTTGGCCTGGGGATTAATGGCTCCTTCCTGCCCATCCACCAGGGCTTTGACCACTTCTTGGGGGTGCCCTACTCCCATGACCAGGTGAGAGGCCTGTCAAGCCCTGCAGGGTGCCCCGGGGCTGGCTGGGGAGAATGCCTGAAAGATGATGCTTGCTTGAGAGCACAGAGGCCGGATTAGTGCTTGCATGGGCAGATGAGTATGGGTGTCTGCTGGCTGGGGAAATGGGTGCTGGTGGGGAAAGCCCATCTCTGAGGTGCTCATATGATAGGGCAGTTTTGCAGAATGTGGGTGGCAGTTGTGTATGGGGACATACGTCCTTTGTCAAGGTAGCGAGGGTCAACTTCTGGGCTACAAAGAAACATCTGAATTGCTGCCCGGAGAAAACGATGCTGGGGCAGCATGGTCCTTGGACAGTTCTAGGGTAGGCACAGACCCCTGGGCTTCTGGGAGTGGTTGCCCAAAGGGTGCCTGTAGGACGTGGTGGTGGGCTGCTGTGAGACTCTTTGCTCCCTGCCCCTCACTGTCCTGCAACACGGGTGAAAGACAAAGTGTTATTTGTTCTTTCCAGGGCCCCTGCCAGAATCTCACCTGCTTCCCACCCGACATCAAGTGTTTTGGGACTTGCGACCAAGGCTTAGTGCCAGTACCGCTGCTCTGGAACCAGAGCATCGTGCAGCAGCCAATCTCTTTCCTTGATCTGGTGCCACTCTACAACAAATTCGCCCGGGACTTCATTGCTGACTGTGCCCAACGAGGCCTCCCCTTCCTGCTCTACTATGCCTCCCATGTAGGAGACAGGGAGGGCTGCTCTGGGCCCAAGGGTGGGGAAGGGAGCCTTTGTCCTGTGGGGACAGCAGGGAAGCATCTCAGCTCCTGCAGCCCCAGGACTGTGCTGAGCAGTCAATACCTGCTCCTAGATGACCTGGGGTTGCTGTTCGCACACCCAGCTCTTGTGGTAGCACCATTCCGATAATGTTCTTGGGCTGCTTCTCTCTGGAGCTTTGCCCGCTTCTCTGGGTCAGGAGTCCACCTGGGAAAACTTCCCACTCTGAGTCTCCTCATCCTCTCCTGGGGCTCAGCTCCTTTGTGCCATTTTTGAGAGACGCTTCTGAAGCTTGGGGACAAGCCTCCTCTCGTCTCATGGGTATTGTCACATAGCTCCGTGTCCTAGTTGGGGTGCTTACTGTTCCTGGGTGAATTGGGAACCAGATGTGGCTCTGGGAGTTTGCGTAGCAGTCTTCTCTGCCCTTTCTCCAGCATACCCACTACCCCCAATTTGCAAGCCAGGAGTATGCAGGGCAGTCACGGCGTGGGCCGTTTGGTGATGCACTCTTGGAGTTTGATGGCTCGGTGGGACAGCTGCTGCAGGCATTGCAGGAAAATGGTCTTGCAAACACGACCTTGGTGTTTTTCACCTCTGACAATGGGTGAGTGGGCTCAACAGGAGGCACTTTGTCACTGATAAGATTCTGCTGCCATGATACGGGGGAACTGGAATGAGGCATTGGTTGGCTGGGGCAAAAGGGATGTGGCGTGGCATTGCCAGGTGAGAGTCCAGTGACCTGAAGTGAGGCAAGAGGTAGACGCTGCTCTGGAGTGGACCCAATGCATGATCTGCTCCTTGTTCCTGTGACTGAGCTGCGCCCCTCCTCATGGCCAGGACCGTGCAGCCTGAATATACCCTGATTCTCTTTGTGTGTGAGTGGCATTGGTCTCTGGTGCCCTACTTAGGTGTCTTGCACACCTTGGCTTCTTCACCTGCCCCATGTCTTCTGCCTCACAAGGCTGAGAAGGATGGCAGCGTCACTCGCTGGCACCATGCCTCTCTTGTCGTGGCCCCATTGGCAGCATCAGGTAGCGTGAACCAGTGAAACTGATGGCAGGTGGTTCTTCTCTCTCACAGCCCTTCCACCATGCGTATGGCACGTGGAGGCAGCTCTGGCCTTCTGAAGTGTGGGAAGGGCACAACATACGAAGGTGGCATGCGGGAACCAGCGGTGGCTTATTGGCCAGGCCGTATCACTCCAGGTGAGACTTGGCACTGCTTGTGCCTTTGACGTGGTGATGCCAACCAAGGCAGTGGTGTCATGGCAGCTCGGCTGCCCCAGGACAAGCAGAGGGTGGGGGAGAAGTGAGGATGGCAGGGATGGGAGTGGGATCAAGTGCTTGAACCTTTCCTTGTGCCTTGCTGTGGTGGGTGACAGGAGTGACACATGAGCTGGCAAGCACCCTGGACATCCTGCCAACCCTGACTGCCCTGGCTGGAGCAGCTCTTCCCAAAGTTGCCCTGGATGGCTATGACCTGAGTCCAGTGCTGTTTGGGTCAGGGAAGGTGAGTCCTGCGGGCTGGTTCGGCTGGCATTGTGCGTGAAGGCTGGGTGTAGGGCTGGAGCTGTGTGCCTGATGAGTAGAACCAGCTGGAGGGCCGGGGGGGTCCATGACTGGGTCATGCCATGGAGTTTCTGGGCTTCTCCAGGCTGCTCTGCTCTAACACCTGCAACATGTTGCCAAGCTAAACCCCCATGGCTGCAGTGGATGGACAGAGCCCCAGTGGCTTTGAGTAGGGAGCAAACAGGATGCTGCTGCTCGTCAGCCTCCCCCCTCTCTGGCCATGTTCTGACTGTAGTATTGGGGCTCCTGTGTGACTCCCTGGAGTCTCTGCCTGGTCCTGGTCCAGGCTCTTCTTCAGCCTCGTGGCTGCACAGGTGAGCTTAGCTCTGCTGCTTCCCACAGAGTCGCCGTCAGATGATGTTCTTCTACCCGCCGTCCCCTGATCCACTGCACGGCCCCTTCGCTGTCAGGTTTGGGAAGTACAAGGCCCATTACTTGACACAAGGTTAGTACTGCCTCCTCTCTTCTGCGTGGGCAGCTTTGTGAAGTCCACTATGGTTTTGCTGTTCAAAGCTCAAAGAGAAGACACTGAGCTACACCTGGGGCTTTCTTTTGCAGGTTCCTTTCACAGTGATACGACCCCAGACCAGGCCTGCCATGGGCTGACCCCACTAACCTCTCACTTGCCCCCACTGCTCTTTGACCTGGAGTCAGACCCAGCTGAGAACTATGATCTGCTGCAAAGCGGCACAGGGCCAGAGGTTCTGCAAGTCCTGAAGGAGATCAATCTGCAGAAAGTGCTTTTTGAACAGCGCATGGAGTTTGGGGAAAGCCAGATCAGGAAGGGCAGGGATCCTGCCCTGCAGCCCTGCTGCATACCGAACTGCACTCCTAAGCCTTCCTGCTGCCACTGCTCCTAGGCTTTTGCTGCTCCACCCCCCTTCAGTTGCTCCACACTATCCCAAACCCACCAGACACCACCCCCTGCCCCCAACTAGCCAAGCTCAGCCTTAGAGCTACCCTGCAGCTTTGGCTCAGTGACACCTCTGACTAATGGAGTGATAGGGTAGTAAACTGTGGGCTGGGGAGATTACCAACCCCACTAACAGTGCAGATCAGTGGACCGTGTGCTCTGTGTTGGACGTTCAAGTTGAGGACTCAACAGAAACCCTGACTTGCTCAAGGAGGCACCACGATACAGCATTATCTCCAGAGCCAGAGCAGCTCCTTTCAAATCACGATCAAGATGAAGCAAAGGGCATGCCCCAGTGTCCAGAGATCCCAACTCAGCTGGAAGCATGCCGTGCACCCCTGGGTGGGAACAGAGCTGGGAGCTGCAGCACCATCATTCACCAGGGGCCAATGGCACAGCAAGAGGAGGATGGGATGGATGGTCTTGGCAGCTTCAGAGGCACTACCTTGTGCAGCTAATGCAGAGGGGACATGCTTAGGTGGGAAGCAGCCCAGGGTATGCATGCTCAAGCATCTCCAAGTCCTTCATGCCTCCAGGAGGTAGGGATGTGGCCAGTGGTTGGCAGGCCTGGCCTTCTTGTAAGTTCTGTGGATCCTGGGGCTGGTCAATCAGGTGGGCTGCACCTAAATGCCATCCGCATGACTGAAAGGGTCTCTCTCTTCCTCATGAGCTAGTCCAGCTTCAGGGGTTTTTTTGTTGGTTGGTTGGGTTTTTTTTTTTAGAAGGGTAGGGGTTGGGAGGGACTGCTGGAGATCATCTAGTCCAACTTCCCCTGCTAAAGTGGGATCACCTAGAGCAGGTTGCACAGGATCATGTTCAGGCAGGTTTGGAATCTCTCCAGAGAAGGAGACTCCACAACCTCTCTGGGCAGCCTGTCCCAGTGCTCGGTCATCTTCACAGTGAATAAGTTTTTCCTCATGTTGAGATGGAACTGCCTGTGTTCCAGTTTGTGCCCATTGCCCCTTGTCCTGTCACTGGGCACCACTGAGAAGAGTCTGGCCCCGTCCTCTTGACACCCACCCTTTAGATATTGCTAAGTGTTAATGAGATTCCCCTCTCAGTCTTTTCCAGACTAAGTAGCCCCAGGTCTCTCAGCCTTTCCTCATACGAGAGATGCTCCAGTCCCCTAATCATCTTCTAAATTCCAGTATCCTAATCATCTTCTAAATTACAGTCCTCTAATCGTACTCTAAATTCACTACTGAATTGCACACACACGTTTTGGAGTACTGGCATGCAGGCACTCTGGGTGTGCGTTGCACCTTCTGTTTGTACCCCATGTATGTCTCCATGCACCCTGTGTGCACATGTGCCCTGCACGTGAATGCAGTGTGCGCGCACAAAGCATTATTGTGCATGTACTCTTACGACCCTGCTGCTGCTGCTGTGCTCACTGCCATCAA